TTCTTCAGTATCTGTTAGAGAACGGGTGTTGTGATCTAAGTCATTCCAGTCTTGAATGGTACTGGCTAAAACGGATTTCTCGACATGCTTGATATAGCTAATAGCACGATGTATATCCAAAGGTTTAAAGTGTCGCGTCTTCCGAGTGTTGATATCCTGTTTCAAAACTATGAGATTTCTGAGATAAGTATGAGTCATGTTATGCACGATTTTGAAAATAAATAACAATTTTTTGTACTTTATAAGCTGTCTCACAGATGGTATAAGTTCTACTTGTAGTTTCAGTATGTTTGAGCCACGGCAAGCTCCCGAGATAAACAGTAGAGCTTCATTCTGTAGTTTCTCTAATCTTTCAATATTGGCTTGAGTAGTGCTGCTATATTAAATTAGTCCATATTCCATAACAAGTATTAAAGTCCAAATGTCTAAACACTTGTATTCCAATATATCTTTATATGTTGATAGTTTTTATTGTTTCTCAATAAAATTTGGTACGGTTTAAATTAAAGTACATAAGAAAAGACAACGTCAATAACAAAATTTCTACTAGGTATATTCGACTGTTGGTTTTTAACAAAAAGGTTAATTCTTCTTACAACAAGGTCCAAAGTTCGGATCGCGATTTTCTGCAGAGAAGAGAAAAATAGTAAACAGTCAAAAAAGCACAAAATATAAACTACGTTCGCTCTAAAATTGACTCGCACTCTCAAAATGTCACTTCGTCACTTCAAGTTACCCTTCAGTCATAAGTGCACACACTTGAAGTGAGATTTTTTCCCCTTGATTATACATAATAGGAGTATTTCAGCTGAGTAATTATCTAATAGACTTGGTGAAATGATATAACACTGAATAATAACGATATCTGATCAACTGAACTAACATTTCTGTCATCATACGCTTATTTTCTTTTTCTTTCATATGTATACATAAACTGTCATTATTACCTTTATTCTAGTTGAGAAGATGAAAGTATTCTTGTTAATAATCTTTGGCGTATTTTCTAGTCAACAACAATCGTATCCGAAACAACTGGTAATACGTAAAAATATATTTAATTTATTTAAAGCAAATGAATTTTGTGTGTATGATCAAACGGGCTCTCAGTTTATTAATCCCTCTCAAAATATGTCATGGTGGTGAGGAAGCGATATGATGAGTTTATGTTAACGGGCCGTTTTTTTACCCTGAGTATTCGACTCAGTTTTTAGCGCTGATTACGAATATCACCTTTATTTTGCTTTGGAAACGATTCGGGATGATAAACATTTGTATTTATTTCAAAAAATATTGTGATTTTGAGTTGTGTTGAACTTATTGTCACGATTTCACCATGATCCCAAACTTTTAACTCAATTATTTATACATATTCTTGTAGCTGCTTCCATGAGCTATTTATTGTACTAGAGATGGGTTGTGCTTAAAGCTACTTTGATGGCGAAAAAAAGCAAAAGAAGAGCAAAAATAAAGATCGTTAAAGTGTTGTTGAGCTTATGCTGGAGATTTTACAATGATCCCAATCAGTCGAATCAATTATTTATACATATTCTTGTAGCTCTCTTCACGGGCTACTCATTACACTTGGAATGGTTTGTGATTAAAGCTTAAGTGGTATAGAAAAAAGCGAAATACCGTGACAGAGAGCACTAAAAAGTTAGATCCGGAGTAGCTTTTCGATAAAAAGTAAAGATTATTTTTACTTTCAAGCATTCCGTCGCACATATTCTTGATTAGCTCGTCGAGCTCTATCGATTGGTATATTTGAAAAAAAGTTCCATTTCCATTTACTAACGAAAATAAATTATTAATGGCACTTCAGCGTTAAAAACGTTGGTAATTTATTTTTGCAACAAAATGCATTTCGAAGCTTCGAAAAGTACAGAAAACTACTTAGAATTGAATTCTCTATCGATCCACATCGAAATTAAAACATTTTCAGAAGGGGTCGATTCCTACGGGATTTTGGACATCGTCCTTTTTTATCATTAATATTATTGATAAACTCTTACATTTAGAATGCCATACCCACTTTGCTCCGTCCCTTGAAAGCCTTAGAGGAGTTTCTTTGGAGTTGATACAACATTTCCAGTAGGATTCTCAGCTATCCAATTTGTGTTTCCATCTTGAAGAATTCCACGTATATCTACGACTCCAAGGCCCCATTGAACTTTGATCTCAAATCCATATAATTTCTCATTAATTTGCACTTAAAATTGGACATATTGCTCGGATCAGCTTGCTCTACTAATATGTTACTTATGAATGGATGGAGCCCTACTAACAGCAGACCCGTCCTAATTAGAAGAGTGGGCCACAGTCATCCACAGTTGCATCCAATATTTTTCGGTAGTTGGTGGTAGTTGAGGATGCTGATGTTTGTTGCAATTTATTTTATTCGTGCTCTTCAATTAAGCAGGCAAAAAGAAGCAACAATGCAGTTATATTTACAGTAGTTAACAAGAAACCTAGGTACGTGAAAAATCAGATCGTATGAAGTGATTGTGAAACTTTTACTAGTTTATTAATCCCTCTCAAAATATGTCATGGTGGAGAGGAAGCGATATGATGAGTTTATGTTTATGAACTAATCTATGTTTTCTTCTGTACAAAATTTAGTTTCAAGGAAAAAATATATACGGACTGTAGAGATTATGATTAAAGATTAAAAAAAAATATTTATCTCTGAAGTGAGACTTTGATAAATAAGTTATGTCTGAAAAAGGTTCTGCACCGCAGTCTTTATGTTCAACGCTTGCGAAAGACAGGTAAAGGTGGGTGCAAGGGTAGGAAGGAACGTTCAGACTAGGAATAAAAGAGTGAAAGGGAAGATGGTATAGATGGAATGATTATACGGGAAAAGGAAAGAAAGGCAGGAAAGGAAAGGAGAAAGAAGAATAGGAGGCGAATGTGGAGGAGACTCTTCTTTCGACCTGTCCAGGCGTACCAGCCAAAAAACGTAAGTCCGTAACGTTTCGTGAAAATCATAGCTCTTTAGCCGAGAAACGTACAGAGCTGGGGAACGTCTCATTTTGTAGCTTGAAGATTTTTCTTTCAAATGGTACTTAAGCAAATTCGAGCTCTGCCCTAAACACCTCCCTGTAATTCTTGTCGATAACGCCCTTTTCTGCGAAAGTGAGGTATATCAAAAACATTATATCACCTAAACTCGTTAGATGCTGGACTTTGCTTAATTACCATTTGAAAGAAAAATCTTTAAGCTACAATATGAGAAGTTCCCCAACTCTGTACGTTTCTCGGCTAAAGAGCTATGACTTTCACAAAACGTTAAGGACTTACGTAAAAGTTGACTTTTACGTGGACAAGCCCTAGAGCTACTTACTTATTCAATCGACGATTGAAAATGACATACAATCGCTGAAAATAACGTTGTATTTATAAACTCACTGTAAGAGAAAAAGAGAGAAAAAGAAGAGTGCGAATGTTTTCATTGGTGAAAAGACGAGTGTAATCCTCATTGATGAACGGGAGTAACACTACGTTCATACATCCACTGTACTGAGAGAGAAAGAGGAGGACAAAAAACGAACGAATAGTGTTATGTAAATTCTTCCTTTTATTGATGACTGCAAGAGACTCAATTGTTTGTTGGAAAGTAATGAAAACACGAAATATTAATCATCCGAACATCTCAGTCACTTTATTCTGCTCATGCTTCAACGTAGTATCGAAGACAAGACCATCTAATAACGAACGTCTAAGACGTTTAAAGCAGAATATTCTTTACATTGGCGTGAATAAAGAGTAAGTGAGGCATACTATCTGATTTTTCACTTACCAGTTTTCTTGTTAACTATTGTAAATATTTGAATTTGCAAAAACGGCCGGTATTTTTTCGAATTCGGGTTTCGCGGCTCCGAAAAAATCCAATTTTGGTTTTAGAGGTTCGACACTTACTTTTCAAGAATCAGCTTTCGATTCTGAATCCAGTGAGCCCACTCCTGAATCACAAAAAATGGAACGCGAAAAAACTAGAGCTGTTTTTCGAAAACCCTCTTTTTTTGCGGTTTTGGACACCTTCAGAATATTTTGAGGCTAGCTCAGTGAGGAAAGAGTTTTGGGAGCCGGGAAAGTGTTTGCCGTGATCAGCGTTCAATTCTCTATCAAACGGTATGTAAAAGGTTCAAAACAAAATTTTACTTGAATTGTGTTATATGTGCACCTTAATTTTTCCATGGATTAATGGCGAATCACAGCAAGCAGTAATTGTTGACGAAGTAATATGTGAGGATGCATATCTGGTGAATTTTCGCGATTCAGAAATCGAATGTCAAGTGTCTCCCAGAAAACATATTCAATTAGACAAGGAATGGAAGTTATACATTAGCGAATTAATTGAAATATACAAAACATCATGGAACGAAAAGAAAAAGAAAACGGCAACTGATGAGGACACAAATATGAACGCGTCACGCATAATACCGTCTAAGCATAGCGATACTACTCGGCATACATTTCATCGACAACACCAGCAGTACGTAGAGTTATATTACCAGTTGATATCATCGAATACTCTTCAACTACCAACGAAAGAACGAATCGTATCTCCACATTTTAATGTGCCAGAATTTCTATCGAGCTGGCCAGACGGTAGAAAATAGTGGGATGATCTAGACATGAAACATTATGATGACTGCACCTTACCTAAACCGCAAACACTCATCGTCTCTTCCATAACATCAGCGGTCCCTGTTCAGAGCGTCTTTATACCGCAGTCACAACTTGTCCTTCACGGTCACGATGGGGTTTTATCATCAAGAAAGATTGATCGAACTCTCCTCAAACATATTTAAACGAGTCTCATCTTGTCCTGAAATACCGGAACTTGTCCTATCGTGCATTTTTATAAACACCCGATCTACTAATACGCTTTATTGCTTATTGCCACGGAATCAGAAAACTACAATATTCCACTATCAAATCGTATTTAGCGTTCATCAAACATTTTCGTATGATCGCAGGATCAAATAATCCATTCGTAGATGAATGCGTCCAGTCGGTACTCAAGACCACCAAACGAATGCAGTTCAAACAATACAAATCAAATGGGTGTTATAGAATATTTATACACTAAAGGAGCAAAATTACATCAACGCGATGAAGAGGGCAGAACAAGTTTGCACCATGCTGTTCTGAGACGATCGTGTCTTGAAAATGCAAAACAATTGATTACGTTAATAAAAGATCATGAACGTAGAAATGATGTGATGGCAAGTGGAAAAAAGAAAAAGATATTAAATGAACAAGAAGAATCGTTAATTAATGTAAGTCAAAAGATCAGTAAAAAGACGCAGTTAGTTTCGTGTCTGAGAGTGTTTGTGAGTAAAGGTTGTACCATGAAAACACGAACAGAAACGGTGGAGAAAGTGTGCGATTGAACTTCAAAAAAGTGATCAATTTTAAACTAAAAGACTTTATAGGAAACAAATATGAACCATTAAAACTTTTTCATGTTGGAACTTATCATACGACGTTATATAGTAGAACGGAATGATGTTTGTAATATCCATCATATAAGAGTATGTGAGTAGGATTTTCTTTACGGAACCACTATATCGATTTCGAAACATAATGGCTGTGAATATTTCTGGAATAAGTTTTGAACGAAAAGAGTTAGAGAATTCTGACTTTAAGCATTTTGTAGTGAAAACTTTACCTTCTCGCCTATTGGAGCCTGAAATACTCGGATGTTTAGATCGTGGATCTGACGAATCCGATGGAGAAGAATTCTAAAGATTTGTTTACTTTCTAGTGATCAAACTTCGAAATAAATTTTAGATTCGAAGAAAAAAAACATCAGAATTATTAAATATGCGTCAGATCTTCATACAAGTAAAAAAAGTCGAATTCGAAAAAGAATCTGTATTCGACACTAAAATGCCTTGAAACTGGACCTTAGCTAACTTTAGCGATCCGATTATGCTGACGACAGCCACAGGAAACATCGTTTGAGTTAGGAAAATACCTGATTTTTCTGGTGTAGTTGCTCTGAACTGTGATATATTTTTACTGGTAGATATTTGAAAGAGTCTAGGTTCTGAATATATACGTTTTACAAGTCTCCATTCGCTTAGTGTTATAAAAAAATGTTTTTCCCATGGAAGTCACTTCTGTCTAGGTAGATTTTACTTGTACGTTTTTTCCGAAAATTCGTCGCTTGAAACAAACATTTTTGGGCCATTAGATAGCCTATCTATCGAAGTGTATTTGGCACTATTTAAACTTTGAAAATGCGTATCGTCGGTTTTTGGCAAATGACCGTGTGAATGCCCACTGTGAGAGGATATTTTACCTACAAATAAGTTTCAGTGGCTTTCATATAGTCTCAGACGGTCGCTGAACACAATATACAATCAAAAATTACATTTTTCAGACGAACAAAATTTTGTGAGATCGTAGTGAATCAAAAGTTGTTGATGTTTTTTTACTCGGATGATACTTGTCAAACATGTCATTCGGTTGCAGTTTTGGATGCAGATTTTGAATCTAACATTTATTTTGAAGTTTAATGGCTGAAAAGTAGACAAATCTTTAGAATTCTTCTCTAAAATCTGTTGGTCCCAAATAAATTTATCTCAAAAAATAAACATTTTTACTGTCACCAAATTTTTACCAATGATAGTCCTATGTTTATACTACTCAAAAATATGAGTGAGAGTACTTGATAATAGAGAGGGAGTTTATGGTAAAGGCTCAGAGTTGGTGAACTGAGCATTTCTGCAGAAATACTCTTCAAGCTTTGTTCACTACTAAACGCTCAAAAGAGACAGGAACTCAGTTTCTTTCGTCACCTTTATAGCTAAAAAAGTTTACTTCATTGTTTTATAATTATACACTTAAAAATCAATAAGTTACTGTCTAAAAGAAGTTTCAAGTGGTGCAAAAAATTCGTGAAATTTATTTGAAGCTCACAGACCTTATTAGTGCTCTTTTGGGTTAAAAGATGTCGTTGGGAAATACATATAAGTTGTGACGAATCAAGAGAAAGAAATTGTAAGCAATAATTCTGTCTTATACACATGAGCCATACCATCTTGATCACTGAGCTTAGAAAATACTTGAGTTCATTTCAGCCGTATTACAATTTAAAGAATCCGGTTTAGTGATTTGTATAAAACTCTTACTCATTTAGAACATATATGTACTTTACTTATAGGCACGAGATGCTCAAAATGGAACATCACTTCATTTCGTATGCCGTTTTGTTGATACTGATGCACAAAATAATGTCTCAGAAAATATTGTACAGTTACTTATTGATAGTGGAGCACAGGTAGATGCTGTAGATAAAAATTATTGTACCCCGTTACATTATTGTTTACGTCGACAATTTGGAGTTGAAAATGTGATGACGTTGCTAAACGTTGCTGCATAAAAAGAACAACAACTAAATAATTCAATAAATATGAAATCAGCAACAGTTCAAGAATATATTGAAATGCAAGATAAAAATAACAATACTGCATTATGTTTAGCAGCTGAACATGGTTGTGAAGAAACTGTTAAAATTCTATTGAAAAACAAAGCTCAACGTAACGCACGAGGAAAAGAATTTTATCAACCAATACATTTAGCAGCAAAATCCGGTAATGTCAGAGTATTAGAAATTTTATTAGATGATGCATCAATGAATGTTCAGAAGTTATCAGTAAAATCAAATAAAGAAACACCATTACATGTTGCGTGTCAATATAATCGTACGGGTGCTGTACAACATTTAATACAATCACTTACACAGAATAAAACAAGAATTTCAGATCATATTGAACACGCTGACAATAAAGATTACACGCCTCTATTAACAGCTGCCTATTATGATCATTTTGATTGTGTTAAAACATTAGTTAAAAATGGTGCTATTATGACCGATGTTAAGGATGATGGAGAAAGAAATATATGTAAGTCTTCTTGAAAATTTACCAAATGTCTTTTATGTTGAAGCTTTTACACCAGTAACCCTGAAAGCTACGCTTCGTTCAGAGATGATTGTAAAGACCTCATTTTTTACATTGATTATAAAAAGGATATTTCAAAATCGCCAAATTCGACCATTGGAATAACTCATACACCCTAAAACCAGTGTTAAGATAAGATTTATTTTTACTAAAGAGCAGGATATCACAAAAAAAAGAAACAAAATCTTGTGGCATCCGTGGATACCCTGTGATAACCTAAATCTATAATAACCTAAAACTAAAGTGTACTCAATACTGCCCTTTCAGAAACTGCTTTTCCGCTGAATATTTTCCAGAAAGATTGCTTTTAAAATGAGGAACAAAGGAACATTTTTAAAACTTGATCTACAGTAGAATACTTCTGAAAAAAAGTCACTTCTGGAAAAAGCGAGTTGAAATACTAAAAGCATTCCAAAAAAGAATACTTTTTGAAAGTATTCCTTAGTGTAACAAACAGTGGGCAATCACATGGAAATTAGGTAGAAAAGCGAAAATGAGTTTTTCGAAAATTCAAACACTATTTAACACACATTAACCAATCCCCGATTTATTGGTGAAAAAATTTTGATCCAGGTGTTGAATACGGTTGAGAAAAGTAAGTCGGAATTTTCGGCCAGTTTTGTCAGGCTTTTCAAAAAGCCGTTGTTTTGACCAGCTAAAGCAAATTCCAAGAAACTGAAACATATACATTCTGAAAGCTCAGCTTGCCAGCTATCGATTCAAATCTTGAACTTTTTTATTTTAAAGAATTTCATAAGGAGAAAAATGGGGTTTTCCGTAGACTAGGTGTTTTCCCACTACACATGTATAGTATAGTGGGTGCGCCATCTATTGCCAAGCTCTGTTCGAGCTGAAATTTTCAGAAAATATTCTTCTGTATGTGGTGCGTCTATATAATTAGCAGAAAGTTGCAGAAATGTTTCTTGGCGGACTTACAGATTTTACAAAAACACGTTTTTAGAGGTTTTTCGCTGGCTTTTTTGCTTAAAAGTCACTTTTCCCCAGAAATAAGGACAGATTCGGAATCAGCGTGAAAAACTGCATTAAATGATATATAATTCAAAACATTTTTCTACAGAAAAGTTTTCAATCACACTGAATCATTGCATAGGAGCACTACTGCAGCAAATTTTCACTCTGCATGTGGACCTATGCTGTAGAAGTGATAGATAAGTCTATAAACACACTTTGCGTAGGTTTTCAAATATGCTCTTTCCAATGGTGAGATTTTCGAAATCCTAAAATAATTTTTGTGGGTTTTCTGAAGGCCGGATCTCTAAAAAACTCAGAAAAATTTATTTTAGGATTTCGAAAATCTCACCATTGGAAAGAGCATATTTGAAAACCGATAAAAAGTGTGTTTATAGACTTATCTACTACTCCTATAGCATATGTCCACGTGCCTGGTCAAAACTGCTCACTGTGTAACATGTTGAAAGCGCTTAAAGAAAACGCGTGGGAAATGGGATATCTTCTAGATGCTGTTACAATACTTTCTGTACAGCAACTGTACTTATGGAAGGATTTAGAACCATTACATAACACGCATACATAGCACATGTGTCGGCACATGCCACTGGACGCATTTATATACTATGACGTGACTTCGACATGTCTATTTTTGTACAGAGCAGACAGACATGTAATTTTTACTGTCGAGAGCCTTCTCTTTTCGCATAAAAATAGGAGCACCCAGAACCTCATATCAATCAAAAATACACAAATTTGAAAAAAGCTTTTTTTTGACCAAAAACATCGGAGGTCCATCTTTGCCTGAAACTGAGACACCTGACAGGTGTGACCAGACCTGCTAGATGCCTCAGTTGGAAGAGCAACATCCTTTCTTCAATATACTATGTCTTACAGGTTAACTCGACAAATATGTATTTCAAAAATATCTTGCAGATACCTTTTTTAGTCCTAATGTGTACTTTTTTTGACCATTTCGACTGGTATGCTTCATAATAGTAGATTGTATATGAAGTTGCAAAAAGCGGCGACTTTTTTATACTAGCTTTTGCGAAGTATTGGTCAAGCTTTTATTGATATCTTATTTTTTGATACCGTGGTGAGGCCAAAAATACCACGAAAAAATTTAAATAAGTGGAAACTAAGCTGTTAACGGAGAAAATAATGTAGTTTATCTAATTAACTATATTACAATTTGGAAGAGTATGAAGTAAATTAGTCGACGCTTAAAATTGTTATAGGGGCAAAATCTATCATCTTAATGCAACTTTTTTCTTAGCACCAAAATAGTTTGACGACAAAGCTTTATGTCATGAAGCCATGAATATGGCCAACACAAATTGCGAAAGATTTTTTCTTATAAGAAAGATTGGACATATTCAACTGTTACCTTTACTGAAATAGTAACAGCGTCGTTCCTACTTACCAAATAGACAAATAATTGCATAGAATTATTTCAAAACAGTGAAGAAGCACCGCTTAGGTAAATAGCCATCTGTAAATGATCCTGCCTTCGGATAGTCTGATTAGATAACTTTCTCGTAATCACTTTCCATTAGACCTGCCGAGAAATGGAGACGCCAAAGGTCCTTAGGTGGTGATAAAGTCAAATGTAGCATCTGTTCTAGAACAGTCTAGACCAACGAGTGGATCAAGAGTTTCTGAACAAATTTCTTTGATTATTTTCTCCCTTTGGTTAAATGTTTCTCCTCAAATTTTATAAAAGACTTTGTTTTCTATACTTTGTATGCGTTTCAGTTATAATACATAAAATTTTCAAGAAATGTCATGAAGAATCATTTTAGATAAATGAATGGGAAAACAGAATAACAACGGATTTTGTTTGGTTTCTTCTACAAATTAACAGCTTTTCTAAACATAATATATCAATTTTAATTACAAAATAATTTTGTTGTGGAAAAATATAGTATAACAGTGAATTTTAGTAGAGTTTACAAAAATCAGTCAGTTCTCAGCTCTATTACTTTTTGAGGATGAGTATTTGTTGAGTTTTCTTTTTTAAAAAAAGTTGCTGAGAAATTAAGTCTTTTTAAGGTATCAGAAATTCAATGTTCGAACAAGCTTTTATTTTGTAATTTTTTGTACATGGCTGGACAGAATGCATCGAGCTGATTGAGAATATGTGCATTGTAACGTTTAAAAAAGTTCTTTTAAGGCAGAAAATTTCCGAATACTCGGATAGACTAAAATCGTTAAAAATTTGAATAAAGTAAGAAAATTTTTGCTTTCTTTTTTACAGTTTTGAAACTGATTTTTTCTGACTGAACATCAAAAACTATGTATAAAAGTCATGTTTGAATTATCATGGAGTTAAAAGTGGGTTGAGCATGGTTGAAAGAGGTGGTTCCTTCGAAAAGATCGTGGGACAGCTTGTAAATCTATCTAGTTTTTTCCATCGGTAGATGAAGCGTTTCTCTTCATATGGTTGTAACCGTCGAATTTCAGCAACAAAAGTAACTTTTTATTTTGCTTTGTCACTGAGAAAATTCATCTTTTCTATATTAGTGGCAAAAACGAAGAAAATGAGCTCGTATTTTTCCATTTTCATCGTCAAAATCCCAGTTTAACTTTTTGATAAATTTAGCCTTTGTAATCAAGAATGTAATTCTCATGAAAAATGTCTGTTAATAGAACTGTGTCATTCGACTCAGTTTTTGCTACTGATTTAAGAAAATTAAGCTTCTGAGTAACAAAATAGCAAGAAAAAAATCTTAATGTAATTACTGCAGCTCTTGAACGAAACGTTTGATGGAGCTCGGATCTGCAGGCTATTCCGTCTTAGACTAGATCTAAGTAGTACATGAGTCTGTCCAAAATCTGTGATAGTCGGTGAACATCGTCAATTGTGGGTCTCGTGTAATGACTTTTACGATCGTGTGTACAACACTTACTCTGATTGAATACAGACAATTTTGTAAGTGGCTAGTGGAGCTCGAATACTTCTGCAACTCGTCTCCTATTTCTCAGACCATCAATTTTGTTCTTATAATATGCGTTAAAACTTATGAATTATTAGGAATGCGCAGTACGAGCAAGACAGGTTGGAACTGGGTAAAAGAAGAGTGCAACTGTATATGAAAATAGGAAGCCTTTTTGCACTAACTGTGAAACTAACTATTCTTTTTACACTAACTGTGAAACTAACTATTCTTTTTACACTAACTATTTTAATAATGTGAACCAAATTTTGCACCTTTGGTTACATTCCGGCGTACGCTGGAAAAATTTTGGAATTCGTAAGTGAATTTTTTGGGAAATGTAGAACTAGGAAGGAGAAAACGCGCGAGCAATTAGTTTAGTAGTTTTGAGCCTATTGGTTAATGACCTATTCACACTGATTTGATGTTATTTGTTTATCTAGTACAAATATGTGCTAAACGACTAAGTATAAATGTTTTAAAAGAAATTTTGGTTCAACTCCCTGAAAGAAAACTACATGAGATGGTCAAGAATTGTGATAAATTTGGTAATAATCCGTTGCATTCAACTGGTCGAGCCAATAATAGTCACATACATTCGCCTGATATTGACAAAAAAGAAGTAGAAATATGTCAATTATTATTAAATACATTCATGAGTAAGCAACAATCATCTACAATAGAGTCAGAAAGAGATACCGCTTCAGCATTTGTTAAACATTCAACTGAAATGATAACGAAAAGAAATAACGATTACCGAACACTATTATATGAAGCATGTTTAAGAGGAAAAGTGGCATTTATACAATATTTAGTAGAAAAAATTATAACAAAAGAGCGACACAGTTTATTAGAAGTTGTTGATGATGAGTTGAAAACCGCCTTACATATTGCTGCTGATGTTGGTGAGTTTAATCACGCGCTTAACAGAGAAGAATTTCTGAAAGTATTAATTGAAAGCACTGTTTATAATGTCAACTGGAATGTCTTACTAGGATGTTTTTCAGAGGAAAATTTTCGCACAGAAATTAACCTAGACTCCCTCTTCTCCTGTCTATTATTTCAAGCAAGAAGGATCAAATGCGAATCTCAAAAATCCCGAAGAAAGAGCAGTAGAAAAATTTCGTTGAAGACTAGTAAAATACTTTTGTGTCCGACTTTTTTTTTCGAACAATAATCCGCAGTAAAAGTTTCACGCCTATTTATTATGTTCTTATGTACCTAGAGACAATTTGGTTTCTGCTGAGGTTATACATGTTGCATGGTGAAGGCTATAAAAGTAAAGAAACGACGCGTATTTTATAGAGAATAAATTGCACGTTAATGTACTGCATCATTTCTTCAGTCAACTTGAGATATTTACTTATAAATAGTTCAATATCATCTAGCGATGCGAGATGGATAGTTTTTTGGATTAGTTTTTCGCCGGTCAACAAAAAAAGTCTACAAAGTAGACATTGCACTTAAATCAAAAAAATGAAAGTGTTATACGTCGGCGATTTGTTTGTTAGCTAAAAAAACTTTTCCAAATAGGGAACTCAATATGATCTACAAGCTGGCCGCCACAGAATGTGTCCAGCTGAAAGTTCATACTGTGTTCCTACAGGTTCATTCAAGGAAGGCCTACAAGCCAGAACGGATATCAGATTCGAGATCAGCATCAAACACTGGCATAATAAAATATTGTTTACAACATATTGTTGCATAACAATATTATATTTAATGAAAAAAGCTTTTCATCACCTGGGAAGGTTTTCTCGTTAGTCTTCAGCGAAAAGGTTCTAAGTCTTATTTATAAATTTCACATTTGTAGGTAACTTCGAGAGACAAATCGAGTTTCATAAAAGATATAGACGCAAAGTTTCAATTGAAATCTTGGATCATCATCAGGCATATGACGATCATGTACATGTAGAGTTTATTTTTTCCTTCTTACAATAATATTACTCATTCATTTATTTAGTGCGTAATCAGTTATAAAGTGCTCAAACACTCTGTTATAGTCTAGAACTAAAATAAATACATTCAGAGACTCCATATAGCTTTATTCGCTAACTGTACGGCTTCTGGACAATTGAGTTTCAGATTAAATTTGAATCTATTCTTGTTTAGGTCAAGTTGAAATTGTCAAACTGTTAATTGAATATGGTGCAAATATTGAAGCACGAGATATGAATGATTCAACGCCATTATACGAAGCTTGTTCTAGAAATCAATATCGTTGTGCTAAATTATTAATTAAAAATCATGTACCATTAGATGATATTGATGAAAAAGGTTGTACACCACTTCATCTGGCAAGTATGAATAGTCATCGAAAGATTGTGAAACTTCTACTTGAAAATAAGACTAATGTAACAATTCAAAATACAAAAGAATTGAACAGTTTAGAAGTAGCCATACTGAATGATCAATAATTTGTTGTACAAGAATTTATTTCACATACATCATGGATGAAATCAATGAAAAATGCTCAATTGAAAACATTTGTCACCGATCGTGAAATAGAAACAGATACACCATTGCGAAAATCAATTCGTTTAATGCCAGTAAAAGCTGAAGAAGTTTTGAAGCGTTGTATAACAAGATTGGGAAATGAAGAAACAACAGATTATACAGTACGTTATAATTATGAATTATTGGAAGATCAATTTGCCGGTTGGGTATCAGGTAGGAATATGGATGTAGATCAAGTCCTTTTGTCTATATCATTACACCTTTTAGTCTTTGTGGTTAAACAGTAAAACGAACTCGAAATTTTCTTTTTATTGAAATTCAACTAACATCTACTGTTAAGCCTCTGAAAAAACTTTGGTAATGAAACTTCTGACATCACATTTATACACGCATTCTTATTTAGGTAATGAGAAGAAAAAAGGTAGTTCTGTTGAAAAAAGACCATCAAAAAGTTGGCGTTTGTGGATTAATAATTGTCTAATGAGACGGCCTAATTCCATTTCAGTTGAACAATCAGCTGATCAACAATCGACAACATCATTATGGTCATCAGATGAACACAAACGTAACGTACTACAACATAATCATCCATTATATATAATGGCCATTAGTGAATGTGAAGATTTAATTAAAAGTGAATTAGTTGATCGTTTAATACAACGTAAATGGTCACAATTTACGCGTTTGGTATTCATAATAACATTAACATTTTATTTATGGTTTTTGGCTTGTTTTACGACCACAATATTAAATGTAAAACATTCCCAATACTATTATTTTCTGCTCAATTATAACGTAACTGATACAACATGTGAAACTATAGCGAATCTATTACAAAATTCACAACAAAATCCGTCTGCTGATGGTTTAAAACAGCCATCAGATTATGTTTTAAAATATATGTTATTAGGTCTGATTGCATTTCATCTATTCAAATATCTCTATTTAATTGTTCAACATTGGCAATATGTACTTTTCAAAATCAGTCTTTTAGAATTAACATCATTAGCTTTGTGTTTGTACTATTCACAAGATTGGTATTCATGGCAAATGAGTGTTAAACTAAGATGTCCAGAACAATGGTCAGTTGGTTCAATAGGTAGGCAAAGATAAGTTTCAGACAAATAGGAACTAATGAGCTTATTTTCAGCGCCCAGTAAAACTTCGATTACCTGACTCTTACGCAGATGAGTTTTTTTCAAACTCATTCTGACACTACTCCCAGACATCAAATCTCAATTCGGAAGAGTCGTACACCTAAAACTTTGGGTATATAAAATAAATTTCAACTACTTAAATGAAATGTGTAAGAATGATTCTCAAAAGAGCTATTAAGAGCACCCCTTCCTCTCTTTGCTGATCAAATTTTCGATCCTAAGCTAACTATACCAGATTTTGAAATTCATAGCAGAGATAGAACATCCAAAGAGAAAATCGATGGATTTTTGCTCAGGATTTTCTGGCATGTCCTTCTATCGATTTTCGGAAAAACTCTAATTTTCATCCACACATTGCGACTCCCGGAAATAATGATCAAATCAAACTGAAAATTTTACTACAGATACTTTAGACCCTATCTCAGGTTTTTTCTTTTCGAAAAATATGCCTTCTTTCTCAAGATATTCAAAAAATACAAAAATGTCGTACAAAAAACCAGTTTTTTTATTTTGAATCATGTCGAAAGTTGCAATCACAAACGCTTGAAAGGTACGAATCTCATATAGGGTCTAAAGTACCTTTGGTAAACATTCCAGCTCGATCGGGCCATTTTATCAAGAGATCGTAATGTGACTGGATTGAAGTGACTATCGGAAAATGCATAGGGAGAAAAAACACATATTGTCAGGTGCAGGTAATGCAAAGTTTCAATGGAATTTGTTTCTGCCATTTTGGCCTCAGATCATCTATAAGGAGCACTTTCTGCAGATATAATGCAAAAAAAATGTAGGACTCATTTAGCAGACCAAATAACTACAGTAGAAACGCAAAATGTGAAAAGTATAAACATGGTCTGGAATTATTCTCATTCAATTCTTCGTTCATAATATCGTTGAGTGTATCAAGTTACTTTTACATCTCGAAACGTTTTTTTCGTTGAGAACTTTAGTTTAAATGACCGATGGCATGCTTTAGTATTTTGATTATTGTGTTCCTATTCCTTTCACTCATTCCTCCCCCTCAGGATTAGCTTAGCAAATTTTTTTCTCCTTTCCTATATATCCAAAATTTTTCTTATAAATAGCATAAAAGAAGAAGGTGTGGGCTTTAAAATAAGATGTCTTCTGGAATTTTCTGAAAAGTTTTCGTGGAGATATAAGCATCACCGCAAATACTCTGAGAAACAGAGATGCCAGTAAGGTGCAGGTAATGCAAAGTTTCAATGAAATTTGTTTCTGCCATTATTGTACATATTCAGATTCAACTTAACAAGCTGATTACGAATAACACCTTCCGAGCCTTCAACAGCCATTTCTTCATGGAGAAAAAGTCAAATTACTGAGAGGACCTCAAAAAAACAAAAAACCGTCCTCTATGATGGAATTGACTTTTTGAGCTTGTATTGCAAGATGGAAGGTTCGAACTATATTTTTCTAAATCAGCACTGAAAACTGATTTAGAAAAAGGTTTTCAGTTCATTATAGTGGTAAACAGTGGTCCGCCATGGACGTCCGAACCAACGGCTGTCAACTGGGTATGATTCATTTTGTAAACCTATCTATTTTTTGGGTGAAGGGCTATATCGATGATTCACACACCATCATATCGGCCAACACACCAGCTTTAAAAATATGTAGAGCTTTTATCAAAATTCATTTTCCTTGCTGAGAAAAACGGCTTTTACTAAAAACCAAAGAGAAACAGCGAGATGATCTTTGGAAAACCAAGCCGTGTGTAAAACTTTTCAATAGGATTGTATTGATTTTCTTCCATGCTATGATAGTCCAAGGTATCCTCTTCAAAATGAGAGTCAAGTGAGACCTTGATTTTCCGCGGCTCGGGTGTTGTGTCAGATTTCTTGCAAGTCCCAGGACTGGCGCTCGGTGACTATTGGTAGCCTTGAAAATGGATGGACTATAGGTAATCAATCATGCTGAGTCTTGTGGCAATATTTGTTTTTAGAAAAAATTCTAAAAGTCTACCGAAAAGCGAGTTTTACGAAAATTTGGGTTTTCAGGCTGTTTTCACCTATTAAAAAATTCACTATTCACTCAATAAGCATCAGAACGGGTTCAAGACTTCAGAATATAAGGTATTTAAGCTATTCTATATCCTATTTATAGGAGATCTTAAAAGAAAGTTTACAAAATCCTAGGTTTTTCAAAAGGGTTTCTGGAAAACCTATTAACACAAATATGCTTTTCCGATTTTTTTGATCTAATCATCCCATTTAGCGGAGAAAATCGACCAGGTCCTGTAGGTCTGAGCTTCTTCTTTATTTTCAGTTTATTTATTGCGATGTTAGAAATAATAATATCGAATTTTCTATGGTTTTTTCCCATTCTATAATTATTAATTGTATCATTTGGCTTTTCCTACTACATGCTATTACAGAATCAACTTATATTCATAACACCGATCGAATCGATAATTCGTTCTTATATAATGCTAAACGATGTTGGTTATGAATCTCATATGTACACAGATTCGACTGGTCTACCTATCTATCGTCCAATTACGTTCATTGTATATATTATTTACGCATCATTAATGTTTATATTAATAAATAATCTTTTGATAGGTTTTGCTGTTGGTGAAATTGAACCAATGATGAGTCGTGCAAAATTTAAACGTAGTCAATTAAGAATTATATTAATAAGTGAATATGAAGTTATTATGCCCTTGAAATTATTACAATATTTTGCGAAAAAAAATAAAAATGAAGTTGTACTACCACATAAAACAAAATGGTATAACAAACCATTTGATGCAATGAAACGATTTTTTGAGGGTAATAAAAAAAAAGAATTCTGCGATGAACAAACAACAAATGATTCTAATCGAGAACAATTAGATAATATTGCGCTTGATCAAGAAAAAACCAAAGAAGATATTCAGAAAATACAAAATGGTATTAAAGATATACAAGTATATATGAAACAAATGAATGAACAAATATGCTCGAAATTTGATAAGTTAATTAATGCAAAGATGTCTTAATTAAGCATCTAATTCGTAATACGTCAGATACAGTTTAAGTGGCAAACGTGGAAAAACAACTAGAGATTACAAGTGGTCTTGTCAGATCGTATGAATGTTACGCAGAGTGAAGAACTAGGGTCAACTAGGGCCACTAATAATAAATATCAAATTTAAAAAAACAAAAGAACTCTTGCAAAGAACTCTTTTTCCGTGGATAACTATCGTTCTAGAATTGTCAGAAAATTGTCATCTCATACATGACAAATAACTGATCACAAAATTCACCTTAGGACGATCAAGGCCACAACTTTCAACTTAACCTTTTCCTTCCAAGATCTGTTATTTTAAGTTAAGTGCAGTTTGACACGTCGATTACGTATATGACCTTGTTTTTCATTAAAACTGCTCGTAAGCTCACGAAGATAAGTTTTACCTGAAAGAAAGAACAGGACTTTTGGAAATTACAATAGGATCTCACAATATGATCCAGAAAAAGTTGCGCCGTGATTGAGCTGTATGTAGAATAATAGTCTGGCAAAGTTTTTATGTTTGAATTCGTGGAAAATGGGTGAAAATTCATTACACTGACCAGTGACTGAATTCCTCTATCGTTAATATTACGTACAAGTTGTTTATTTCTTGCTTGATAAATGAAGAAGGTGGCCACAACTGGACTCATAATACTGAAATGAATACTCTAAGACTTCGTACTGGAGGATTGTGCTCCTTTAGACCAGATGACTAAACCACTTAATCTCAGCTTGTAACGCGTTTATCTTGCAAGGAATAAGCAACTTGTTCCGGGTCAAACAACAACAGCCGTTTATGGCTAACAACAACACCCTAAATCGTACCGTATCCAATAACCCTATACGAGTCATAAACACATTTGACCATGGAAAATTTTTGTGGGTTTCTTTTTAATAAACACTGAGAAAAGAAAGATAGAATGTGCTGGATGGATTGAGGGAACTAAGCCTGATCTGTGCAGATTGCTAGTCTTTATATAATAAAAAAAAATCTGTTAACACGACTTTATATTTCTAAGTAAGCGCTATCTCTTCCGCCAATTCTAACATCTCATGAAAGGAGTCTCTCTCCTAATGTGGTCAGTGTCACAGTATTAGCTTAGTCTGGGTGTTACTAATAGCTCTGTATTAGTTAGACTATGATATTACAGAGTGATCTGTCATCGTTCACATATTTCTCACTAATGGATGATTTCCACTTATCTGAACTCAGCAAGAAAGAAAAAGGATTATATTTATCTGCTGAGTAAAAATATATAAATGCTAAGTTGATTTTTGTTAAGTATAATTTCGATATGTTCAGTAAAAAAGTTAGACGCTTGATAAAGTTATTGAATGCTCGGTTGAAAATAGAATTGCTCTGTAATTAAATTTTTCGTTAAGTTTTATAATTAATATATCAGTAAAATATTTAATTATTAAATAAATAAAGTAATTTTATCAGTAAAAAAACTAATTGTATCAGTAAAAAGATCTTAAGTGTGTGAATGTGAGCGAGAAGAAATAAAAAACGACTGTTAGTCAGCGGTGTTGCTTAATATGATTTTAGAGTGGAAAATACATGTACTTTTGATAGATGCGTGAAAGTCACACAACGAAAGAGAAGAGATAGAAAAGAAAAAAAACATATGTATGATCTACAGGCACTGAAGATCATCACAAGTTTTTTTCCCTGTCTCTCTCTCTCTCTCTCTCTCTCTTTTCCATATGTATATGTATATATACATGACTGATACTTGAAATCCATTTCAAATCTATAATAATGGCGAAGTTTGCAGCTACACAACAGTATGAAAGCTCATCAGAATCTGACGATGCAATGGAAATGGACCAACAAGCCACTCAGGAAAAGGTGACAATTAAACGGAAATTTGATTGGGTGGAAGAAAAAAGTTTTTGTGGTGATGCGGAAGCGCAAATGGCAATTGCACTGGAGGAAAAATGGAGTCGATATTATACAAACAAAGGTCTAGATGGAATTAGAGTTTACTATCGATGCAATCAAGTTAAGTTTCGTGGTAAGCAGTGTAATGCTGCAATTTATCTTTATTATCCACACGAGACGGATACAGTCGTATTATATCGTGCAAAAAGTGAACACAGCCACACCAATGCAAGCAAACACTTTTTCTTTTCGGAAAAATTGAAAGAAAATATACGAACTGTTACAAGAGAGAAACCTTAAGATAACACGTAACCAATTGAACAATTATTTGACACAATTGCGTCAGAAAAAGTTTGGCCCAAGTACTGTAAGTTTAGGAGAATTGGAATCTTGGTGTCAGGAAAAATCAACTGTACCACATTCTGAAGTTGAAGCGTTTGTAATTTCATTTTACATTCATTATGAAGATGATACTGATAATGACGATGAAGATGTGGCAGATGATGGAAATAAATTTAGATTTTTCTTATCAACAAAAGCACTGCTTAAAATTGCTTCGATTTCGAAAAATTTACATGCTGATGCCACCTACAAATTGATCTGGCAAGGATTCCCTGTGTTGGTAATTGGAACTAGTGATTATGATAGAAAATTTCATCCGTTTGGATTAGCAATCTGTTATGATGAGAAACAATCAGATTTTGAATTTATTTTTAAAAGTATGTCTGCTGCAAAGGATATACCTATAGGAGAAAAAAGGAAAAGAGGACGACCTCGAAAAATAACTAAAGCTCTCATAATAGACTAACTTTGCATTTATATTTTCTACTTGGATATTTCTCTTTCTTTACTTAGCAAAATTTGTTTATTTACTTATCAGTTAACACTTCCTTTCTTTCCAAAACATACCTATTTCAAATAAATTAATGACATTTCGATGCTTTTTTTGGCGTGATTGGATAGAGCTCATCGATTTGCATCAGAAAAGTACAATCCCTCGTTTTAAAAACCGTGGAATTTTCCAAAATAAGAAAATTTTTCATACTTATTATTTTTCTAAAATTGCAAACCTACTTTTTTCTGGTTCTCCATCGAGAAACGAGTATAAGACACTGAATTCCAAAATTTTAAACCTGAAACTGGCCGCCAAATTCACGAAACAAGAGCAGAATCATAAACCCTAGTGATTGATTCTTAGAAAAGAATCTGGCAGGAATCTGATAAGAAATTTATAAGAATCCGCTACGACTCGTGTAAGAATTTTATTAGATTCTTATTGAATTGTTACATAAGAAGTCCGCACGAAAGTAACAAGAATTTGATAAAAAGCAGATAGGAATCAGTTGTAAAATGAAATGAATGTAAAATGAAATTACAAACGCTTCAACTTCAGAATGTGGTACAGTTGATTTTTCCTGACA